ATGAGTGTATATTCGCTAATTTCGTGCAATTTGGTTTCAAGTAGAACATAAGGTTGACGGAAACCCGGGGACTGCGCCTACCTGATGAGCCCCAAGAAGGGCGAAACCGGTCGTTGGCTGCCGATGGATTTTCAGCAACCTTACGGGTAGTACATTACAAAGATTCATAAGTCCCCTTACACTAACGACAACTTATAAATGGCTCAGAAAAGATGTAGAATCCAACCAATGAGTGGAGCATCCTTCTGAGAGGCAGTCACCCAAGGAACAAGTGAACGGGCTTGATCATGTGATACCCTGATTGAAGGTTGAGAGAAAGGATAGCACAGTTTAGCCAATCTTCCTTACCCCTCAGTTTGCTTGTTGCTCAGTTCTTTTCTGGTTCACATGATGATATCTTAAGAGGTGAACTTTTCCTTTCCTGTATGGCAGCGCTGCTTACTGAGGTTTACTTTTGGGGCACTTTCTACTCTCACGCTTTGTGGATGATGTTGCACACTTGGCATGTTGATGTTGATCAATGAGTTTGCGCATGGCAGTTTAAAAATATGGTCTTTCTCACTTTGAAAATCCACCATCAGAATTCGTACTCACTTCAAACTACGCCCGGTCCTAAAAATAAATGTGACGACGACATCCCATTGATCTATCAACGGTAGAAAAATGACACCCAAATGATGGAAAAGCTCACGAGCTGATAGATATCTGGTTATGTGCGACAAATTGGGGGCAGCGCTAGGAGTAGCAGCATATTTGCCTGTGCAATCCTAATGGTACCGTATGCTGTTGTTTGAACGAATGGCTTCCAGTCTGATGTGGAATGGAAAATCGTTCCGGTTCTTCATGGGTTACGAGCAAAACATTATTGGACGAAAAATCCTGATAGACTGCGCTCTCGTGACAACACTGACACCATAAGGTCATCCATAGTCTAAGTCAGGAACCCTTTTTCAAGTATTACAGAGAAGTAATCTGTATTTTTAGTTGAAATACAGGGACACATCTGTGGGATTCTTCCCATCGATTCCGGAATCAAACTTCCATCAGAGGGTTTTGAATTTGTGTGAGTTTATTATGTCTCCTAGGGTGTCTGGTAACGCGGCGTATCTCTGAATCATGATTTTCTCGTTTCGGAAATCAAGACCGTAGAAGACGAGGCCGTGTATTGGGACAGGGCTACTGTTGTTGAAAAGGCGACAACATATAGAAGAAACCATGACTCTATGGTGTACGAAGACTATATGTACAAGTGAACTAGTGTCCAAAATTTAGGTGCGCGTCAACTTCATGGGCATACGGGAGGATATAGACAATTGTGCTCACTTCAGTGAAGGGTAGCATGAAGTTTGATATAAGAAAACCGTAGCTGGCCAATCTCTCCAGATGGTTTATCGGTGAAGAAACACCTGCGTATGGTGGGCTAGCATCCGAAAGGAATTGATCTGATGGGCGTCGGTACGTGTGTCCTATAGCACAAACGGTTTTCTCGAAGCCGGATTTCCTAATCCGTCGGAGTACGACAAACCCCTATGAGAACTGAGCAATCACTTTGGAATAAGATTATTAGATGCCTATTCAAGTAATCAACCTGTTTAAAGGCGATAACATTACCGTGAATATCGCGACCGTATTTGGAGAAGGCGTGCTAGTGTCAACAATCAATTTCTCTACGTCTAAGCATAACACCCAATTCCCCCAAAACCAGGTCATATGTCACACCGACCATTACCAGGGGGCTACTCAGTTTGAGTTTATTTACTTAAATGGCGGTTTGGGTACGTCATAAACCATAAGCCATAAACTTTCATTTCAAAGATTGATACTGGGATCGTAGGACGTGTTTAAGTGCTCTCAACGTGCGTGACTATTATTGCATTCTCAAAATGTAGGTTTTTTCACTTGTCGATTTCTCACTTTACTTCATCATCATCAAATCCCTCATACAAACTCTGGCCAAAACCAATGCCCTCTCCATGTACGCCCGCTTTTCCCCTTCAGCACTAGAATGCGTCATTATCCCCTGCTTTAAGGACGCTAAGAATTTTATCTTTTTTTCACTTTGCAAGTACGGTCACATACGAGTTTTGTTCTTATTTGTACTAGCTGTGTTCCCTTTAGCACCGTATTAAATATCGTCCGCTAATTATCATCTGAAATTACCATAGACTTGAGATTGTAAACACTCCGACTACATGTTGAATGGAGGCGTGTTGCACGAGCAGAAGCAGTAAGGAATTCAAAGTTTCCTGTCAGAAATTAGAACCGCAGTTACCAGGGCCTCCTTAAACTGATTCTCCTCAAGCACTTGCCTCCGCAATATGAACACTTTGGTGAAATTACTTCTGTTGGCACATTCCTCACAAACCCCACAAATATGAGGCACGTGGAAACATGTACCTCGTCAAGCGTGCAAATATAGCATTCCTACAGGTTCCAGGGAAAAGAATCAGGTTTTATACTATCCAGAATAATAACAAAGGTCCTTAAACGCCATACGGCAGCTTCGGTCTCTTTCATCCTCATAGTTTATTCCCCAACATTCCAAACAGTAATTCTTTGACGACACTATGCCGGGTGCACAATACAGTGATACGCATGCGAAGTCGGTTCATTTTCTGTCAGCTGATCATCATGAGAGTGACCACAGACCATTCAGTCAGAAGTATCCTTCCAATTTAGCTAACTGTCACCACAGGGCCAGCGAAAATTCTAGCAAGCCACAGTCCAGCACCTTTGAAAAACCAAAGTTGCGGCGAGAAACCTGGCCAACAATAATGAGTACGAAGAAACTACTTTTCCTGAGCGCATTGATATTTCTGTGCATTGAACCGAAGCCTCTTCCTGGTTGATTTTCGAGGATGCGACACTTGGTTTTGACGACTTTGCGCGCACGTCCACTGGTCAAGCCGAGCGGTCCCGCTTCGGATGTCACCTCGTTGGGATATGAACCCTCAGGGTCAACCGAAATTATTTTCTTTTCGGTATGGTTCTCTCTTGGGAGGCACAATACAATACCGGCTCCTTATCATAACTTCAAAACAGTCTGATGAATGCGGTCGGGTTTTGGAGGTTGTTTATAGTGTTACGGGTATAGTGTTTGGCAGAGATGTAGCCGGCAAGCAGAGCAAAAGGTTGTTTCTGTTGAGTGAGTTGAAATAGACCTCACCACCAGTACACTATCAGACTTAATGGTAAAAGCTTCATTTTCACTCAAATGCAGCAAGCGATTTGCAAAAGTGCTGCACACCTGGACCCGAGGGTGAATTGCCAAATATGGTTTGGTCGCGCGCATGACGAAGTGGATATCCTTTCGGACTGTCACCTCGACCTCGATTTCCCATGGAGACCTTTAAATCAGCTACCCAAAACCATCCCTATAAGCTCGTCGTAACCAGTTATTCAGAAGTACACAGCTGAGATACCAAGCTGTTGGAAGTAATGGCAGCCCACATTATCAATTTTTAACAAGCTGAATATAGGTTCAATGGAACCCCGGTTGAAGTAGTCCAACCTGATTTGTCATTCTCTTGGCCTGAGCGAATCTCGGATGAGCGAGTGCACATGAATAACGTAGCAGAATGCGCAACTCCTTTCTTGGAACTACTCATAGGTTCCTGAATACTCTTCGGAAAATATACTGCCCTATCTCGAATACCTTACCGACTGGAACATGAGGCGGCCTTTGTGCTACATATCAAATTGAAGAATATCATGAGTGGGAGATTTAGCCGGAGTTCAGTTCAGTCTCTCGTTGAAACTGAATTGGTGTGCACATGAGTTTATTCCGTGCAGCCCTTTGATTCAATACCAAAACATTTCCGTTTCTAAAAATTCCTCATTCACAGCAAACCCGACTACAACAAACTAGGTTTCTACACCACCGACGCTAATGAGTCACATCTTGTCTTACTTCCAGGGGGTCGGTGTCGAAATAGGTTGATCACATTCGGGATTTACGTGTGGATGGTCATTGTCTAAAAACACTGGAGGAATGTCAAGTCGTTGAATGGCAGCTCCATCAACTTAATCCAAAATTTTTGCTTTGGCAGACTTAGGTTACTCGGCAGTTTGTTGCTCATAACTCTAATTCTAACAGAGCCGAAACCCTCACAGTGGAACCATGTGACACCGCTGTGTCGTTACGTACCCCCTAATCGTGCCACTCGCTATCACACTCACCACCTACCAACCCGGCATAACCAAATTGGGCGTTCTCATTCGTGAACTGATTTACTGTTTGATGCGCAGCAGACATTCGATTCCTCTACTTAAGTTTAGACCACATTGTCAGTGTGACGCCTTTTGTGAGACGACAAACAAGTAGAAAATACGTAAAAGCCCAGCCGCATGTTAGCAAACTGGTGTGTAAGTAACCGCA